TTTTTGGCGGTAACCAGAATGGTGGCCGAGTAGATCATGTTGTGCGGGGTGGAGAACGATCATCACGTTGTATAATAATGGTCAAGCACCCTCGAGGCAGTTACGCAGCGCTTACAGCTGTCTCAAGAAGTGAAAGCACCAGAAAACACATTAAGTCATACGCAGCTGTCATCCGTATGCAAGGAAGTAAGCACAACACGCCGAACACACTTAGCAGGAATGCAGCTCACTCATCATGCGACTCGCCGAATACCTCACGGCGCTTCGCGCTTGGTGATGTGAGAGCCTGGTCCGGTGAGAACCCGGCGTGCTCCGTCCCGGCTTTGTAGGGATGCGAGGTCAGTGGTCTAACGACTACGGCATGCACGACTATGAGAACCCCCCCCCCCCCGCCTGTTCACAGATTAAAGAATTAAGTTCCTCGGTAGACCCCTGCCCTAGGTCCTCGACCGCCGTGCGATGGCGCCTGCTCTTGATGGCGGCCACCCTCTTGTCGTGGTAGGCCATGAAGTAGCGGTTGATGCGCAGCTGCGCGAAGCTCCCCCGCTCCAACTCGATTTCTGGTTAAATTTACTGCTAAATCCGTTCATGCAGTGTTTACGACGCCGCTTCCACGACCAGCGCTTCCCTTGCACAAGAGCCCGTCGGGGACTGTACTGAGGAGGGCGATGTTGGCGAGCTGAGAGAGCCATCGACTGCAACTGAGGAAAACGGCAGCGGCGAGAACAGCAGCGACCGCAACTTATAGCATCGATCGTCCCGCCTGCTCTGTCTCCGTCCCCCGTGTACGTAACCCCCCCACACACACTTTCCGTCGAGGCGGTGCTGTTGGTGTAAGGGATACAGAGTAGAGCCATCCCATCATATGGCACTACACAGACCGGAACGATGAAACCGAACGATTCACATGGGGGGTTCGATCCGAAGACAAGGGGGAACAACAGCACCCCCCTCGTGGACTATTGAACAGAGTTCCCTGTGGCGTGTTTCAGGCCGCATCGTTCGCATGTGCTGTGACGCTGCGGGGGAACGCAACCTTGGGTGAGAATATTGCTGTTGCTCTGCCGTGCATCGTTCGGCACATCATGGGTGTGGTGTTTGGTATCAAGCATTCGTTGTTGAACTTAGACCGGCCCGGATGCATGACAAGTTTTGTTTGTGTGAGAAAGAAAATGAAACAAGCGCGAGAGTTGGGAGGAAAGGGTCGTGCGCAGATTCCTCTGGCAACAGCAGGGGCCCAGGATGCAGTTGGCCCAGACAGTTGAGATAGACGCTGCCAGTTGGTCGCCGGGTTTTCATTCTTCGACGTCTGGCAGGAGCAAGCTCACTCACCCCATTCGACCGCTACACGAGCGGTGGCATCATTCATTTCTTCGTACGCGTGTTGATAGCGGCGGAGGCAGACGCTGCGACATTTTCGACAGGCTCCGTCGCTCCAGTCGCCATCTGCTTTAGTCTTTTGCTGTGGAGAGGGCCGCCCGCATGTATCTGGGTGCAGACGCTGATCTTGGAGTGGAACGTCGACCAGATTAGCTCTGAGTACAGCCACACATCTGTACTCCTAATGTCAAGAGTTAAAAGTCAGCGGCAGCGTGAGAGCAACGCCCGCAAATTCGTGGTGTTTTTTGGTTGGACCGGGTACGCCGTATGTGACATCAGGAGCAATGAGAGAGAGAATGATGACACATCGAAGAATGATGACACGCCCTGGACGTAGCGAAGGGGTCTCCATCAGAGCAGAGTGGGCAGAGTGCGTGATCCCTGAATGTTGGCATGGCGTGTCATATGAGCCGCTGAGTCAAATCCAGACAGTGAATGATGCAGGACCCGATGATTTGGGTCGTCGTTCGTGGTCGTGAGTTTCACAATGCTGCGGAGTTCACTCGAAGCGACTGATGTCCAATTGTGCTTGTACAGCGGTGTGTCACCCCCGCATTGCAGCCTCGGGCGACGGAGCCTCGCAACGCGACACAGACCAGCAAACACCCACATTGAAGTCCTTCCTTCGAAGTCTACAGCTCGAGACGGCAGAGAGTAGTGTCGGTCGTGGTGGTTGATCTACCAGGTACTATGCATAAACACACGCTGCAGGCGCTGCAACATCGGGATGTCGGGACTGTCGACGGTTTCATTATGTGATGACGCCTCTTTTCGTTTGACGACCGTATCCCCAGTGGTGTTGGGTATATATAGACGATAGACTATAGACTATATATATTTCTTTTTTCTCCCATCATTGGACTCTGTCGTCTGCCCCTCTGGCCCCTATCCTCCACTTCTACTAGCTAGACGACCCAACCGGGGTCACATAGGAGGGGGGGGCTGGACCCCCTCCTGCGGTTCCTGCCTGAGGTATTTTTATTGCGAGAAGGGTACAGCAATCCCTTCCCTCGCGACGTACATATGTAGACTATACCCTCCAAAAAATAAGTAGCAAGTAAATATCGACGTGAAATTACAGATGGCGCCCGCACTTAAGAACCTCTAGTGTCGGCCGAGGCTGGGGTTCTTATTTTGCTGATCATTTTCTTGTTTGTGGGCTACAAATGGCCGTTATAGAATACCAGATTATATAGGTTCTAGTGTAGGGTTCTTAACCGAGCTCACAAATGGTGCTCAAGTTCTTAGCTTTTGATTTTTTGCGATTCTCAAATTCGTATTTGTTCTTAAGTGCGGGTGCTATCTGTATTACTTCACACGCATAAAATGTCGATATCATCATTTACACATCATATATATATACCATATTATTATGATATGGATTACCATATTACATATATATTTGATGATACATATGATCATAACCAAGTAATATGGCCATGAATATATATACCGCGATATGGCCATCAACCAGGTGCGCAAACAGTGTTGTACTACACCGTTTCAGCGTTAAAAGCTCAGCTGCGTCAGCTACTGCGTACATTATTGTTGGTGTGCAACGGAAAGAAAAAACACTGAGTGAGTGAGTGCGGAATATTGATTGAATCATACTTCTATTATTATTATTTTTTTATTATCGTTCAGTGGTACGTCAGGCCGAGCAGCTTTTACACACGCTCCCAAATTCACCTACCGATACTGATGTGCCTTGCACGAGCGAGAAGGCTTTAGTACTGCGAAGTACATCCTCAAGACCAATAACAACACGAGAGGATGCAGCAAAAACAAGGAAGACCAGGAGAGAACCGCCCTTGCACCCTTGTTCCTTCCACTCGTTCATGATGTAGCAAACAACTCCGGAACCGAAACAAACTCCACGGAGACGAAGAGCAACAAGAAAGGGCTATGACGGGGGGTCTTCCGCAGACGGCGTACGCTCCTCCTGTGGTCCGTCAGTGGGCTGCCAGGAGGAGTCGCTCACGTGGGAGCTCCCCTGGGAGCTGGCGCTGTCGCCCACGATGAGCTGTTGATTGTTGATTTTGGCTACAGTATACGGTGTGTGGAACTCGAAATCTGTGTTCTTCTGACGTTCTGACTTACCCCGTGGATGAGTTCGGATATCGGATATCGGTATAGACTATATCCCGATATAAACCTTCTCATATGATAATAGATATGGTCATATGGTAGGTGATGTTGAACTGATATAATATATATAATCATATATATTTACGATCGTTCAGGAAGTATGTAATCATGTAATTTATCACTTAATAAACCGGCCACAAAAACATGTAAAAATATGTAATGTATTATGGATGCCCTCTACTCTGGGTGAGATCCTACTCTTTATGTACTTGTATCTGTGCTCCCTGAATCTCCATATTATCCTGACCTCCACAATATGACTATATATTATATACCTTTTTTGTTGTTATGCGCAACACTAATCCCCAGGCCAAGATAATTCACCCGTTTGGACACTCCTACAAGAAGCCTACAAGCACGCATCTCTCTCGTTTTGGACACGGGGAACACGGAAAACGCGGGAGAGTGCCAGAGTGCCAGATAGGCATCTGATACCCACGTTCTCGTTCCCACGGGAGCCCGTGGGGACATGGATATCGAAAAAAAATGTAGCTCGACCCTGTAGACTATCCTTCTCGCCGAAGATACGGGGCCGTGGACGATTACACCCGGAGACCGCACCACCGACTCGTTGAGGAGTCGAGCTCGGATCACCAGCCGTCACGGTTACCGATAGCAAGGAAGGACACGGTTGCCGTGTTGTGTGTGTTTGCCCTCCTCGCGGGATACTACGTGGCTAACAGCAGAGAGGGCGACGACGGGGGGAACGAGAGATCACAACTACATGTAGGACGTACAGCCAGATTTGTCGAGGAACACGCAGCAGCAGGAGGAGGAGCGTTATCATCGGGCGAGTCTGGCCAGGCGCAAGCTTTCACCGCTCTCAATTTCTGCCACGTGCGGGACGGAAAGCCGGGGCAGGACTATCCCTTCAAGCTTGTCGAACCCCGCCGCGAGACCACCCTGGCCGCAAGCTCCACGGGAAGGGTTCCACTATCGCTGGGATATACGACCAACATGTGCAATCATACCCAGCACCAGCAGTGCACCAGAAATAGACGCTTTGGAGTCAACGAAATATATATGTTACCTGGCTCGGCACTTCATTTTAGGTACCGTTCCAAGGTGGCTTGGGACGAAAAAGTGGGCGAATGAGTAACATCCTCCTGCTGCTGTTATTGATGTTGTTTACCTGCGGCGGCTATCGCCCTTCCTTGTCTGTGTTCAACCGCACGCATTCCTACATGCGAATGGTGATCGCCCCAGCCTCCGTCCAATCGCATCCATTCCTTTGTCCACGGGTGGGGTGTGGTGCGGTACCCGCCTGTATTCACTACTTGTTCTCCTTGCAGTTTCACGATGGCCTAGGCTTCCTGGTGAGCCACTCGGTCCTCACCAACACGTTCGAGTACAGCTGGCAGGCCGTGAACCCGAAGCTCACCGTGCCGTACTGGGATTTCACGATCGAGACTTCCACCTCAACGGAGACGGTGTACGACCCGGCTTCCCCTTACACGAGGACGCCGTTGCTGAACGCTTCCTGGTTCGGCACCGCTGACGTAGACGACGGCATGGTGAGATACATTCAAATATGTATTCGAGAAGGCGGCGTTTTCACAGACTCGAGCCCTGTGAAAATGGGTATACGGACGTGCTCCTGACTCCCCTCGCGCGTGTGGAGGCGTGTTTCATGCGCAACAGCGCGGTACATGTTGTTGTTGCTGCTCCTTGCAAAGGGTACGGCCTGCTCCTGACTCCCCTCGTGTGTGGGTCGAGGCGTGTTGAATACGCCAAAGGTGAACAGTTGCTGCGGTACTTGTTGCGGTTGGTTGTTTTTGCCGGAGATCTGCCCGACAATAGTTCAAGTCGAATCGCTACCACCCGTGTGGGAATGATTCGTTTGTTTCTTCGAACTGGTCAGCACGTGTGTTTCATCTCCTGCTTTGCGGTGGAAAATTTCTTTGAAAGTCACAACATTGTCGCATCCACTACATTAGGTGAAGGATGGTCGACGGGCGAAGTCGGAGATCCCCATGGTCAGAGACAACAACCCGGGTGGCCTCGAACCGGACGTGTACGGCAAGCTTCAGGCTCCCTGGAACACGAACGACAGAGCGTGAGTACCACGCGGTCAGGGGGGTCCCGTCGAATGCATATGGCAGATACGCATGATTCGCGACGTCCTCCGAGAGAAAGTACGATGTTGTCGGGCGCGTACAGCTACTTTGTGTCTTGTGCGACCGGTGCGTCAACACCGCACGCTAAGGCCGCTCACAAACACACACGTGATTCGCCCTACGCCCCGTTCTGCCGGCAATCGCGCGCGCGCCTGGATATACATGCATGTATCACACAGATACCTCACGCGTGGGTTGGGTCAGCTGTGCCAGCTAAACACCAACCAGCTCTTACCGTGGCCCACCTGCCAGACGCACTACGAGCTCACAACGGGGTCCCACACCTTCTACGACTGGGTGTGGAACAGCATGCACGCCCCCGACGCGCCGCTCCACCTGTGGCTCGGGGGAACCATCGACTGCGCGGGCACGTACGAGGCGATCGCCGAGCTCGTCGGAACTCTATCGCGGAGACGCTCACGCTCCTGGCGATTTACCACCGCAGGAACCTGTACTGCGACAACGTGTGGTACTACGATGGGCGCGCGGACGTAGAGACGAAACCGCCTGAGGTATGCATCTACCAACGGTGGCGTGTGTGACGGCTCCCCCATGATCCATGTCCGTGCCAACGAATGTCTTCATCGAACAAAGATTTCGAGCTCATTTTACGACACGAGGTCAGCTGGGCACAGCCGTTACTCGATCTAGCTGTGTTGACGATGGTTTGTGCGTCGATATCTCGCGAATCTTTTCCCGATTGTTTGTCGTCGAGCGATGGCTGGTAACACCCTTGAACTGGTCAGACTCATGAATGTGTGCTTGCTTGACCCGTGGCCAGCTTCTCCTAGTCGCTTCTATCCCTCGTGCTCTTGCCCGCATGATAACCGGCCGGTTCATGCAGCTCCTGTCGAGTGGCCAGTGCGGCTGCCACAGTTACGGCCTCGCACAGGGTAGCGACTACAAGATTGTCATTGAGAGTATGGAATACCTGGAAGACCTCATTGGGGAGTTGGATGACACTACGCAAAGGAAGGTCGTGGGGGCGCTCTGCACGGGCATGGTCAACCTCGGGTCCCACTCACAGGTTGTTGCAAGCTTACTTGCGCGTCTATCGTGAATCGACGGCGCTCAGTACCACTACTCAGACCCGCCGCGATCTCCGTAGAGTCCCGACCCTAACGAAGGCATCGCCCACCGCCGAACGAACGACGTTTGTGTGAGTTCTAACCAAAGCAGCCACCACCATCGTCTGCGTTCTCGCCTCTTACCCAGTTGTTCGTTGTTCTGTTCTCCCCCCCCCCCCCCCCCCCCCCCCCCCCCCCCCCCCCCCCCCCCCCCCCCCC